TTCTTTCTTTCAAGGTGGAATGATAAAAACAAAAATTGGGTGCACAAGTTTGAATTTGAATTTATTTTACTCTTTCTTGGCAGAAGAGTTCATTTAAATTGGTTGGTTTCCTGGCACTGACCCAGCTTTCAAACATAGTCCACAAATTTTCAATAGAGTTTTGGTCAGAGCCTTGGAAAGGTCATTCCAGTTGCTTTATCCATTCCAAAACCAGCTTTGATGCTTTGCAACAGTTGTTGATTTGAGATGAAGCTGAAGAATCTTGAGGTAGTCCTGCATTATTTCTTCCACTTTGTGCAATGTACCAGTACTACTGATAGCAAAACAATCCTAGAACATGATGATACCACCACCAAATTTGACAGCTGGTTCAGTGTTGTTAGGTTTGAAAGTTTCACTTTTATTGTGAAACTCAAACATAGCTCTTTACTGTGATCACATAGCTCAGTCTTTTTGGTCAGATAGTGTTTCTCCAGACTTTCCTCCAGAAGGCATTTTGGCTTGTAAGGTGTTGATTTTGGAGCAGAGGCTCCCTTCTTGGTCAGCACCCTCACAGGCTTGAGTTTTGGTGGTTCTTGAACATCCTAACCAATTTCTTCTTATCTGAGGGTGACAGTTTGGACACTTCTTCCAGATTTTGGCAAAGTGGTGACACATGAAAATAACCTACACTGCACTTGTTTAAACTGATGATCTTGGAATCTGCAGTTGTTTAGAAATTGCCCCTTTGCAGCTTATGCAAATCTACAAATTTCCTTCTTCACTGAGCTGCTTAGACATTCCCTTTTAAAAAGTTTTGCTCAATCCAATTAGTGCTGTCAAAGAAATCCTTTTTATGATGAGAGGTGATGAGAAATTAGCAGTTGTAGTCAAATGTGATCACTAATGGGAACCTTCAGCACCATTTATTTAAAAAATAAATTAAAAATACAATTAAAAAAAGGAAGTTTATGTACATGTTAAGAGTCTGTATGTATACTTTTGGCTGTGTGGTTTAGAGAAAATCCAAACTAAATTCAAACTTGTTAAAGTCATTAAAGATGCATGCTGTACAATCAGTTCACCTGGGGAAAAGATCAGTTCAAAGAAATCATTAAAAGATGGTATTGTATTGTTTTTTTTGTTAACATCATTAAAAAATGTAAAATTTTAAGAACTGAAAAATATACAGCTCTATATAGCTCTAGCCTCAGTAACCAACATTTACCACTAGGTGGAGGCAAATGCTTACTTAAATGCTGTAGTTTAGGGGGACACCTTTATTGATTAAAATCTGAACTGTGCAACGTCCAAATTGGACAAAGTCTGAGATTTATTCAGAAGTAACTGGCAGCTGCAGCCACAATTACAAGGCCCTTTCCATAATATTTTCCAAATTAAAAACAAATAAGGAAAGACATACGAATTGAGGAATAAATACATTACTGAACAGCATGTACATATTTTTTTAAATAGTTAATTTCAGTATAATATAATTTCAGTCACACCGAGGGGTGGTTTTATTTACAGGCATTGCTGGTCAGTTGGCTCTTTAGGAGCATATCAGCTACATCGGAAATAATATATATATTTTTTAGATATTTTATCTTTATAAGAAAAGAAAAGACAACTCTGAATATAATATAACGATGCAGCCTGATTAATACCTCCTCTGTGTGCAGCGGATCATTCACTGTAATTTCTAATTAACACATTGCTATTTACTCTGCTGGATCATTAGGCCTCATCACAAAAGGATAATCCAGTCAAATTGAGAGTTTATGCTTCCCTTTCACCTTCCAACATGGCACTACATGCTAATAAGGCAAGTTGAAATTGTCCAACAAATTAAGACAAATGTTGCCTGTTTAGCCAAGGAAAATATACTGAGCCAAGGAATATCAATTTATCTTAAATATTTATAAATGATGTGATGACTTTTTATTTTTAGTTAAGTGAATCCTGGAAATATTTTAGGAAATCCAAACAAAAGTGAGAAATATTTAAATAATTTGAAAATAAAATACTATCAAGTCAGAAGGACATGAGACAGTAAACCCAGTGAAAGAGAAATGTTGTGGTTTTGTGTTGCACCCTTTTTTTTTTTTTTTTTGGTAAATCTCTTTCTTCAATATACA